AAAAAATTTTGTATTTAATGTCCTCCAGTGAAAGAATGGAATGCTAAAATAATGAAAGCATGTCGAGTGATTTGTCTTTTTACCTTTGCAGGAGTAATTTCTCTCTCACGCTCACTTCATGGCAAAGCAAACACAGTCATCTCCATGGTGATTTCAGCGGAGGATGGTGGTGGTCAGACGGCACCCGTCAATGCCCGAGTGAATGTGAGCATAGTGGGAGGCTCTGTGGTGTCTCCAACTTTTGACCAGGCTCAGTATTTTTTCACCGTGTCCGAGGATGTCCTCAGGGGGACGGCAGTGGGGGCAGTCCGGGCTGCTTTTAAGACAGGTGGGACTGCTTGTGCCCTCGATGAATCATTGATCATACAACGCAAATATGTGTCAAAATATTAAATGAACCTACAATTTATCTTTGTTTTGTGGTGGAGTTTTTTGTTGTTGAATGTTTTGCAGTCATAAAAAGCATGACAAGCAAAATAAGCTTTCCTTTGACTATTTAAAATTTTTATTTTAAACTAAAAATTGATGTTAAAAATATTGCCCCAAATCTGCTTAATTCATACATCTTTGCCTTTTCTCTCTCCTCTTCAGGTGTTTCTAATTATATCTTCTATTCCATTTCTTCTGGAGATCCTGATGGCTACTTTACAGTGGACAGTTCCTCTGGTACCATTCGCACCGTCCTTCCTCTTGACCATGAAACCTGCCCCAGTCTTGACCTGGAGATCCAGGCACGCTCTGGCTCTCCTCCAGCCTACGGAAGCAGCCGGGTGCACATAACTATATCAGACGTAAACGACAACGCCCCTACCTTCCTCCCCTCCTCATCAGAGTCGCTCCTTTTGCCTGAGATCACCAAAATGGGAACGGTTATCTACCGCATTCAGGCCACGGACAAAGACTCCGGTCATAACAGTCAGCTCAGCTTTGACCTGATCTCTGCTGGCACCACAGGCAGCAGTGGCCAGAGGACGTTTGGTGTTGACCGCGGCAGCGCGGAAATACGTTTGATCGGGAGTCTCTCATATGAAAATGTCCCACGCTATGATCTCCAGGTCGTTGCCAAGGATGGTGGAGCTCCTCAGCTCAGCTCCACCTTCACACTTGTGGTTCACATCCAAGCGCAAGACGCAAAAGGCCCCACCTTTGACACCCTTACCTACCGGGTGGAGCTGCGAGAGAACACACCTCTAAACACACGTTTCCTCCAGGTTCGAGCACTCAACAGAGAGGCTTCTGGGAATGGTGGGAGCTCTTCGTCTTCCTCCATTTTCTACCGACTCAGACCCGACGGTGATGCAGCTGGATTCGGCATCATGCCAGACACTGGGTGGCTGTTTGTTCGGAGCTCTCTGGACAGAGAAGTGAAAGACATGTACCTGCTGACTGTCCTTGCCACATCAGGCCCAGGAGGGGTGGGGAGAACCGGCAGTGCCACTGTCAGGGTGACTGTAACTGATGAGAATGATAATTCCCCAAGACTGAGCCAGGAAAGGGTTTTCCTGGCTGTCCGAGAGAACTTACTGGCAGGAACAGGCTTTGGTAGGGTGTCAGCAACAGACAGAGATGCAGGACTAAATGCTCGACTCACATACAGACTGATGCACTCGGACAGGCACTTTCAGATCAATTCACAAACAGGTGAAGAAAAACATTGTAACCATACAGTTACTGAATTATATTTAATTTGATGTAAAAATTGATTTACCCAACTATTATTAAATGTTGCTTCATTAGCAACAGCAAGAGCTACATAATTAGATTTAAATGCTGACGTGTGTGTTGTTTCTGAATTAAACCAATAAGCTCATCTCCCTGTGATGTTCTTTTGTTTCAGGTGAGATCAGTACCCACCTCGCCCTGGACAGAGAGCAGCAGTCAAGCTATCAGTTTGTTGTGGTTGTACAGGATGGAGGTACGCCTCCCCGCAGTGCTACAGGGACAGTCCACATCACTGTGCTGGATGAAAACGACCATGCACCCAGTTTCACACATGCCAGACCTGAAAGGGAGTTGCTGTTTCAGGTGAGAGAAAATAATCAAGAGGAATAAAATACAATTTTTAATGGTTTCAGCTTGAACTCTGTATGTTAAAGTTACCCCTTTAAAGTATACTGCAATGTTTTATTACTTTGCACTTTAATTATTAAGTAGGTGTAAGTACCGGTAAGCGTTAAGTAATCAACCGACCTACTAATCAAGGCAATAATTGGTAGAATTGAACATAGCAGGAAAATAGTTGTTTTTTATTTGTTTGTTTGATAGTTCAGCAGTTTTAGTTGTAAAATTAAAATGTGTTTAGAACCATGCACAATGTTGTGTTCTCAGTAAAAAAAGTAATTATTAAACTAATTTCTATGAAGATTTGGTTGTTAATTTTTACAGAAAAATGTTTATCCTTTATTTACAACTTGAAAAAGAGTTCAAAGTAAAATTAAGCTCTGAGGTTATGATGAAGACTTCTGGATGGAAGGTGAAACATTTCAGCACAAAAACAAAAAAAGAAAGAAACTGTCCAGATGGCCTGACTGAAAACTGTTGGATTGTATACCTGGATTATTGAGCATGGACTTTGTTGAGCTAAGGTTAAATTTTGTGATCTGGACACAGAAAGGTTTTTTTTTTTTGGATGACTTCTACATGAAGGTCTGTGTGGATACGGCTGGACAAAAGTAAAAGTTGTTCATAGTCACTTTAATCTCAGGGTTTCATTTGTGCGTTAAGCCAGCCTGTTTGTTCTTCAGTTGTTTATGGGTTTCTAGACTGGTGGTTCCCAAACCTTTTTGCCTTCAACTCAGAAAACAAAAGTAGCAACAACTCATGATCCAACAACCAGTATTGTTGAAGTATACAAACATTGCTAATAAGCCATTTAACATAAAGCTTCATCTATATTTTTATAGATTTATGGAGCCACCTTTCATAAGTACTTAAATGTCTTTTTTTTTTTGTTGTTTTTTTGTAACAGGCTATGTTTAAAATGCCATTGGTAATCATTTTTGAAGTTTGAGTTCTGTAAATATTTTTAAGACGCTAAACTTGGTGCTTTGTGACCCCGATTGGGGTCCTGACCCATCTTTGGGAATGACTATTTTATACTAAATATATAGGAATCCAATATTATTTGAGCAACAGTTACTTTTACATCTACATTTGTTGGGGTTGTTGCCATGCATCAATCCCAACAAACTGTTGTTGTGTAATACTTCTGGGTGGTATGTACAGCATTTATTTCCACTGTACATTTGCTCAAAGTAAAACTTATAAAATATTATAATGTATCATTGCATGGATTGTTAAAATTGCCTTTAGAAATCATGTACTACTCTCATAACTATTGTTAATGTTTTAAAATTGAAGACATTGTTGCATGCTGTTGCAGTGCAAGGGCCGATAGAAGTAACATGCTACATACATGCTTCAGAAATGCTGTAAAACAACTTCCTACTATTCTTTTTGCAGGTGACAGAGGGGCTTCCATCTGGAACTGTTGTGGGGACCCTGACAGCTAAAGATCCAGATGAGGGAGAGAATGGTACCATCCTCTACTCTTTATCAGGTGCGTCTTAGAAATAATTTCTTAGATGATTAGGTGGACTGAGATAGGGTAGAGGTAGAACAGCCGACTGGGGACCAGAAAGTTGTGGTTTGACTCCCCACCATTCCCATGTCGTGGTGTCCCAGAGCAAGACACCTAATCCCTAATTGCTCCGTGGGCGCTTACATAGCTGCCAACTGCTCTACCTGGATGTATCTCATTGTTTGGTGGGTTAAATGCAGAGAACTAATTTTGCCATTGTATGGAAACATACACTGATGACAACATATAGTGCTTTAGTTACTTTACTTTGATTGGTCCTAATGGGGTGTGGTGGCGCAGAGATTAGCAAAGGTAAGCCTGTGATCAGGAGGTCACCGGTTGGAATCTGCTGACAGTTCCATCAAATTTGGGTGGGAAAGGTAAAGCACCCACACCTGCTTCCATCCTCATTTACCCCACTGTGGGCCCTTAAGGAAGGCCCTCCAACTGCCCTCTGGGCACCTTAGATGTCAGTCCTCTGCTCCACCATGTTTATGCTCACATGCAATGAGAAAAGTGTAGAGAATTAGTTTTTCCATTGGGATTAATAGAGTATATTAATTCCATAGGCCTGTATGTAACCCTATTATGACAAAAAAATGATTTACGTTTCAGGTTCCAGAGCAGAGTGTTTCTCCCTGAACCCAACCAGTGGTGAGCTAAAAACTGCTTCCCCGTTACGATGGGCGGAACGAGCCGAGTATGCATTTACTGTGATCGCTGCCGACCACGGCACACCAGGGCGCAGCTCCAACTGTCAGATACGCATAGAGGTAAACATGATCTTTGCATTTTTCTCCCACATTTATCTCCAAATCATTTGAAATCAAGACAATACAAAACTGGAACCAAAAGTCTGTTTGGTGAGTACATCCACAGCTGTCACATTACCACACAATACCTCAGTCCTTTTGAGTAAATCTCCTCAGTCTGTGAACTGTATAACTGTCAAAAGAACTGGAAAAGGGGGTAAATATGAGAAGAAGAAAAACTGAACTTCTGCCTGAATAAATAAAACCATGTATTCAATCTAGTGTGTATTTCCTGATCCAGAGGTCAGGAGGGTAACTAAAATCCACAGTTAGAAACCCAGAGCTGTGGGAATGTGACGTCTGAGCTTATTTTCTGACTCTCTGCAGGAAAGTTCAATCCTACATATGAACATACTATATCAGGAATTCAGCAGGAGGAGAAAAATGTCTGCTAGAGAAGGGTGTTGGCTTTGCTTTGACTGTGGAGCGTTGGGCTGTGTTTTGTGTGGGGAGTGTGCGTGATTTGTTTCAGAAAACGATGCTAATTGCAGCAGGAGCACTTTTCCTTAAATTTTACTTGAAAATGTCTTGTGTGTCAATTTGATTAGACAAATGAAAAAAGAGGCACCTTGGAATCAAATGCTCCCAGATGATATTTGATGAGAGCCAGCTGTATTAAATCATACACGTCAGTGTACAGTAGCAGCATGTATTACATGCATTCACACAAATGCATTGAAAACCTTGAATTGCATGAGGTAGCATGATCAAATTCTGTTTTTGAGATAAGATTTCACGTAGTTGTGGATAAAATAAAATAAAAACCCAAAAAGAAGTAGTGTCATACACCAAAAGCTGTTAGATTGTATTATAGTAATACTGTTGTATGGGAAGATAGGAAAACAGTAATTTGTCATTTAGAGACAAAAAAAGTACATTTTCTCAACCTGTTAAAAGTAACAATAGTAAGGAAGGGTGAGTGTGTTTGCATAGATTTTTTCTATTATGATTTGTTTTTAATAAAACTGGATATAGCTACTTTTGCTTACTGTCTTCAGAGCTTTTTATTTTGCATCAAATCATGAAGCTGTTTAAAGTGTCAAATCTCACATATTTGTTTCTTTTTAGTTCAGACTGAGGCATAGTGGGCTTGGTTATTGTTCTGCCTTTTTTTTAAATAATAGACGTGTTTACAGCTTTCCCATTACCGAACCCTTCTTTTTGTGTGCTTTTGGCCACAGACTCCCAAGTTAAAGTCAGAATGCCCCGGTGTCAGGATGTTTTACTGGAAGAATTGCACATTAATCTTCATGTACAGCAAAAAGCCTGTGAGGGTTATTATAGTAATGACAACCACATAGAATCAGACTACGCCTCAGGGCCATGTTTTATGAAAATTTGGGATGAGGGCCTTATGGACGAATATCAAAAGAAATCTGATCCAGTAACAAACATCAGCACTTGCCTTATGCTTCATTAAAATGATACATTAAAAAGTTTTCAAATGTAATTCGGTGTGTTTTGGCTCAGAAATGTGGTTGATTAAGGAAAAGATTTCAATATGATTGTGATCTGAGTAACTATTATTAATTGATGGAATTTGCAAGAACAACTCAAAAGTTGTGCCTGTTTGACTGCAGTTTCCTTTATTTTAGGTTCTCAGCTTGTCCAGGTTAGTCCCAACGCCAAATGTCCTTTCTATGACCCTGAACACAGTGGAAGGAACTGCTCCTGGCTCCATCATTGGTTCATTACGTTCAGTCAACCAGCAGGAATCTGCCATACTGGAAGGCCAGGTGACCTACCTGGTAGTGGGAGGCACTGACCGGGATGGGACCTTTATGGTGGACCGTGTAAAGGGTGATGTGTACCTGGTGCGTGAGCTGGACTATGAGAAGGGGTCGAGGTACACCCTGCACATCGAAGTGTCGGACTTCTCTCAGGTGTTTCCTAGCAGCCACCTGTTGAAGCTGGAGATCAACGTACAGGACAGTAATGACCACGCCCCTGAGTTTTCAGAGGATCCTATTACAGTTGTGGTCCCAGAGAACACAGAGCCGGGGTCTTCTATTTATGCCTTCCAGGGTGTGGATCAGGTGAGAAACAAGTTCTAATAATGGTAATTGTAAAGTTTGGGAATTATATAAGACTTAAGTATATTTTTGGCAAACATCATACAGTGCCCTTAAATTTGGTCACTATTTATGCCTCTTGTTTAGGATGGCCGTGGGCCCAACAGTGACCTACAATACTCCATCGAGCACCAGTGGCCAGATACGTCTGACCTCCTGGTACTAGACCCTTCTAGCGGCATCCTGACCCTGGGGCAGAAGTTAGATCGTGAGACTACACCGTCCCTCTACCTTGTGGTACGAGCCACAGACCAGGCAGTAGATCCCACCAAGAGGCGATGGGGTTCAGTCACCGCTCGGTTGTTTGTGACAGATGAAAATGACAACGCTCCAGTCTTTAGCTCTCCCTCTGCAGTCAGTGTTATGGAGGATCAACCTGTAGGGTCAGTTTCCTTTCTACGTTGATAGCTTGAGAATTGCTGTAGCATTTGTTTGTTATAATTTGTTTTCTGTTTGTCTCTTTACTGACAGGTTCGTGATTTTATATGTTGTGGCTCGAGATAAAGATGAAGGAGAAAATGGCAGAGTACTGTTCAGAATCCAGGCAGGCAATCGGGATGGCCGCTTCAGTCTGAACCCCAACACTGGTAAGATGGTTTTAACTGGGGAAAAAATAGCTTCTTTCCCCAAAAACTTTCCTGATGAACAACAGGGCAGACTTTTTCATCATGTAAACAGAATATTTAGGCTATAGGATTGTTGACAGTCCTTAAAAGCATATATATATGATGAAGCTGAGTTTTGTCTTCTTTTGAGCTGGGTGTTGAAGGCATGTTGAGCTCTGACTTGGTTTGACTTGAAACTATAAAACAGGCACATATTGCAGCTTCCAGATGGAAGAAATCTTTACGTCATTGCTTTCAACTGTCTTGTGGGTTGATTTCACTTATGGTTTGTTTCTCAGACTTTGCGGTGTTAAGCTTTTAGTTATTAAGAGCTGTAATGGCAGATTAGCGTGTGTTATAAAGAAGTTTGCCAAACTGAAGAGCTAATGTGGGAAGTGTCATTAGACTGATTACTGCTTAAAAATAGCATATTTATTCTGCCAACTTTCTGCCACTTAACATTGATTCAACTTCAGTTTATTAACTTAGAGAAAGCCATAGTTTTTTGTAGCTCTTTCATTTGTTCTTGTGTAGCTAAAGATTTATTTGTAACCAATAGGTTCCTAATTTTCCCATTTGAAGCACATTTAAACCAATCTCAAAGGCATTAGTAAAATCTTTAAATCCTTCATGCATCTTTTGTACTTGTTCATTTTCCATTTAAATCACTATGCAACCAAAGGTCAAGCTGCCTTTATTTTACAAATAGAAGCTGTATCAGTTAGATTGTGCTATGAAATAGCAGAACTTGTGTGATTTGTTTTTTGCATCTGCTTTTAACTAAAATGGTTGAGCTAGCAAGTCCCCACAGAGATATCAACACGTCAGCATCACAAAACAGTCAACACACAATGTGTCTTTGGCACACCGTGGCATTTATGAATTACATGCCTCTTGGGCAATGCAACCAAACTCGAACACTGCTGTGAAACACACACACACACATTTCATTTTTCCTTCACTTTGGCTGACCCTTTTAATAGTTTGTGTGATGACAGGGCTGTGGGATGGAGACATAAAAGGTAGGAAAGCAACTGAAGCCAGAATTTGTGCAGCTGAGGTGTAATTCACAGTCTCATGTGAAAAGGCATAATTAACTATAGTTACACATGCACTTGTGCCTCAAAGATTCAAAGTCAGATTTGAATGCATGCTCGAAAAGCCAGAATTGAATAAGTGATAAGAAGTAAACAATTAGCTGTACATACTAATGTACTTTTATTTCTCCTTAAGGAATACTACGGTAGTATTTGCAGGTATACCAAAAATAATTCTTAACAGAAACAAAGTACCACAGAGTTTGACAAATGAGAGTATGAAATTTCATCTAAAATAATATTTTTAAAAAGTTCCAATAATAAACACATGTTTACTGCTTTCAGGTTCTCTCTCTATTCTTAAAGCTCTGGACCGGGAAGAGCAAGAAGTTTACAATTTAACAATTGTAGCAGAGGACCACGGTACGCCTCAGCTCTCCACCTCCCAGGTGTTGTGCGTGCATGTGATCGACGTGAACGATGAAGCTCCGGTGTTCCAGCAAACAGAGTTTGAGGCTCAGGTGATGGAAAATCAAGGACCAGGAACCACAGTGTTGACTGTAATAGCAACTGATCGCGACCAAGGTTTGTTCAAGGAGATCTCTGATGAACATCAAGATTTTATACTTGTTAACGTAGCATGGCCTGTTACAGAAACAAGTCAGTAGTAAATGACTGTGGCAAGGCTAGTTTTTGTACGTATAAACATATTTTATTTTTTTCAGTTTAGTTTTTTATTATCAGAGAAACAAGGCCATGTGATAAAGAAATATTTATTTATAGTACCTATTTCAGTGTATTTAAGTGTTTGGATAATTAAGGCACATATTCGAGGGGTAGTACCATAAACGCTTGGAAGAACGTCTACAAATACACACTGGAAAAAAAACTATTTTTACACAAGGAGGAAAAAAATTGTCCATAATTTTGACACAAGTTGTCTTCTCATGAATTTCATAAAGCACATCAAATAGATTTAATTTACCAAGTGTTGTTATGGTTTGTTTCTGAAAACCACTTAAGCTGTGTTCGGTTAGTTGACCCACATGTATCACAACAAGAATTTCAATGTCAAAACTAAATTAACGCAGATGGATACATGGATATTAACACACAAAAAAACCAACTGAAAAACTATAGCGTGCAGTATATTCTAAGAGGACTTATGGCAATAGTCAGCAGATGATTACTAATAGAAGAATTTGGGTATGAGGAGCTGGAAAAACAAACTTTGGAAGGCTTCTAGTGGAAATGATGATGGCACCAAAATAAAAAACGCCTAGAACATAAATAATTAACTATATTACCAAACTCATAGTCAATCACAGAAAACCCAACTGATTACTGAGTAATCTGTTAATTACAGATTGACAGAAACTAACTTATTTAATATTATTGACATATCTTAAATATTTAAGAATGTTAAAAAAATAAATCAACAAATGAAACTGGAAGCACAATTTGGTAAAACTTTCAAATGCAAGAGAAAGAACACAGTGGTAGAGCTGAGGAGTCAAGCAAGAAGATACGATCAACAAAAAGCCAAAAATGGTTTTGAATAAACAAATCAAAGCCACAGTTGGTTGCTAATAAACTAGTTACAGTCATCCATGTATTTCTTTGGATTTACTGGCAAGACAATACAGCTTTAAAATCATTTGATGTAGTTTTTTCAATTGGTTTTATAATGTATTATGCCTCTCGTTTCTAATTCAGGTTCTAATGGTCAGATAACTTATGGAGGTGTGACAGAGGACGGCTTCATCATCAATCCTGTAACAGGGGTCATCACCACCACCAAGGAACTTGACACAGAATATCAGAAGATCTACACTCTCACTGGTAATTAAATACCGTTTAATCCCTTTTTCCACTATGATCTGTTATTTAGTGTAAACTCTTATTACAGCTGCATCAGTTTGAACTCACTGTAAGGGATTTGTCAAGTTAATACTTCTCAATTTTTACCAGTCTATGCCAGAGATGGAGGGCTGCCTCCTAACTTCGCCAAGGCTTTAGTTCGTGTGGAGGTGCTGGATGTGAATGACAATGTTCCAGTCTTTGCAAAGATGTGGTATGGACTCCAAGTTCCAGAAAACCAGGAACCTGTAGTGCTTTGCTCCATCAAGGCTACAGATCCTGACTCAGGTCCAGGTGGAGAACTGGAGTACAAAATAGCCTGTGAGAAACAGCTACCTCTGTTTTAGTTCCTCCATAGGTCCCTTCACAATTGTTTCACATTTTTATATTTATTAAAATCTTGAAAATATTATTGAATTTGATGAAGACATTTTTAATTATATATTTCTAGCTGGAGACCCTGAAGGAGATTTCCAGCTCCATGCCAGCACAGGAACCTTGTCCACCCTGCGAGAGCTTGACAGAGAGAGAAAGGCAGAGTATAACCTGGAGATGGTGGCCACAGACCGAGGCAGCCCTGCTCTCAGCGCCACTGTAACAGTGCAAGTCAAAGTGCTGGATGTCAATGACAACAGCCCCATCTTTACAAGAAATAGCTACTCAGCAGAGGTATCAGAAGATGCTAAAGAAGGTTCTCAAGTTCTTGAGGCAAGTAGAAATGAAAAAAAAAAAGATCCAAATTTAAAATGTCCAATTTTTAAGATGATTGTGTTGACAAGTTCTCTGCCTTTTGTTGTTTTGCAGGTGTCAGCGACAGATGCCGATGAGGGTTTTAATGGGAAAGTTCTGTATTTCCTCAGCCAGGAGGCACATGGAACATTTACTGTGGATGAAGAGACTGGCCAAATCACCACATCAGCTCTTCTGGACCGTGAAAAAATGGCATCATACAGCTTCCGGGTTTTCGCTGTTGATCTTTCACCTGCTGCACCCAGGAACTCCTCTGCTGAGGTAAAAGGCGGATTACCAGTAAAAGACGCTCTTTTGACTTGTAGAAGAAAATCTGTCTCACATGACATTTGTTAAAGTTATTCCTTTAAACATTTTTTCACTTAATTCACAAATATCTTGCAGGTGACGGTCACCATCCTTGACATCAACGACAATGCTCCCTTCTTCATTCAAGATCCATTGATCATTGAAGTATCCAGCAGGCACTCCCAGTTGGTTTTAGCCACCATGAAGGCCGAAGATAAAGACTTTGGAGCCAATGGTTCTGTGTTTTATCGCTTTGCTGCCCCAGTGCAGGGCTTTAGTATCAACTCCTTGACTGGGGAGATTCAAGCCACCAAGCCTTTGAGAGATCTGACCCAAGTTCAGAGGACCCTGATAGTGGAGGCCATGGACCAAGGCAGTCCAGCTCAGTCTGCACAGGGTGTGGTGGTGATTTATGTGAAAGAAGTGGAGTACAACGGCATTCGGTTTTCTAGGAATGCTAGAGATGTTAGCATTCAAGAAAATGCTACAAAAGGTTGGGCGATGTTTAAAATTCCAAAACTTGACATGTGCTATGTTGCTTTTGTTAGAGTTTTACCAGTGTCTTTTCTATCATAATTAAGTAAAAAAAATATTCTTTACATTTTCAGGTACAGCTGTGGCTCAGGCTCAGGCCCAATATCCAGATGGCACACGTAAAGGAATTAGTTATAGACTCTTTAGTGGAAACAAAAAGCAGGCTTTCAGCATTAGTTCATCAACAGGTAAATCCTAAAGTGTTTTTCTTTTTAATGTCCCAACCTTATATAAATTCAAAATGTTAGTGACTCATATCACACTGAACACTAATTTCAATACTGTTAATGTCTTAATGTCTTGTGTGTATATATATATATATATATATATATATATATATATATATATATATATATATATATATATAAGTATGTGTATGTATATATGTGTATATGTGTGTGTATGTGCATGTGTGTGTATATGTACAAATCTACTGACTGTGAAACTAATTGCCTCTCGGGGATAATAAAGATACTTGAACTTGAACTTGAACACATATACCAAACTGAGGATTTAATTTACATATTTTTTAATTTGCATCTTCCTCTTTCTGTATTTCCTTCAGGGGAAATCTGGGTTGAGAGCGCCAGAGGACTTGATTTTGAGGACACTCCCAGGCTTCGCCTTGTCATTCAAGCTGAAACTGTGACTTCCACATCATTCATGGCTATTAACTTGGTCTTGCAGGATGTCAATGACAACCTCCCTCGCTTCCAGCTACAGAATTATGTAGCTTACATGAAAGAAGCACAAGGATATGAAACACCAATCATACGGGTGACTAAAACCATTAAACTAGCAAAACATTGCAAAGCCAACCAAATGTTTAGTCCACTGAAATTAGTTGAAGTAAAACTAAATTCTCCATTTTTCTTCACTCTTTTCACTCCTTATTCAGGTAGTGGCTGAGGACGTAGATCAAGGCCAAAATGGTCAGGTGACATACTCCATCCAGTCATCAAGCATGAGTGGCCTGTTTAAAATTGACCCCGTCACTGGAAGCATCACTACAGCAGCCATCATGGACCGTGAGATCTTTACACAGACCAAGTAAGGACAAAAAAAAAGAATATTTAATATATCTAATGGGTATATTTTAGGTAAATAGGAAGGTATTCACAATAGTAGGTGAACGTGTTTTCTTCAAATATGTAATTTCTCTACATTTGTTATAACTCAATGGAATTGCTTTTGTTCAGTGAAACAACTTTGCATTGACTTTGTAATGAGATGATTAAGATTAAACAAAAGATAAAGGTATGTGATTTTGAGGTAGGGGACAAACATTTAATTTCTTATCATTTATAGACTTGTAGTTACCGCAACTGACAGAGGAAGTCCGCGATTGGCTGGTTCAGCCACACTCACAGTGATAATTGTCGACCAGAATGACAATAGTCCAACTATTCCTTTGCCCCAGGAAATCCGCATTCCAGAAAGTAAGCATTTTTTTAAAACAAGAGTTTAGCAGTGCAACATCCAGAGCTGACTGCAGCTAACCGATGTGTTTCTTTTCTTTCCCTGTCAGATACATTAATCGGCACAGAAATCACTCTTGTGACTGGGAATGATGTAGACTCTAGTCCTGCCTTGTCCTACTCCTTGCAGCTTGATCCAACAGCTTTAGGCAAATTTGGGATTCACCGTTACAGTGGTGGTGTATCCCTCACTGGCTCTTTAGACTTTGAGGAAAAGACATGGTACACCCTGACTGTCAGAGCCACAGACAGCCAGCACCAAACTGAGGCTAACATTACAATTGTGGTGGAGGACATTAATGACAATGCACCTGCATTCACCCATGACCTCTATCAGGTAGGGTGGTCTACATCGTGAGTCCACAAAATCTGTTTTCCCCCACCCTGTTCCCTGTGTGTATGTATTTTTAATTTATCTTAAGTTCACTTAAAAAAGACAGTTGCGTCATTATTATGCTTTTTTAAATGTATTTTATAAGTTGCATTCACATGATATAATTCTCACAAACAGTGTTTAAATATCTGGCACCTCACTAAAAAGGTTTTTATCACAAAATAAATTTCATTCAGAAACTGTTTCACTCCAGTGCACAACTCTAAAATTGCACCCAAGGACCTGGCACATACTGTAAACCCCCACATGAGCACTCGCTGCTAGCCTACACTGTGAGGGATAAAAGTTAACTGCCTTATTTTAAATGGGGGAAAGTTGTAGAGATGAGCCTATATAAACTGTCTCAGGAAATTACCTCAACATGAGCGCACACTCAAGAAAAACAAGAACTGTGTTGTAAAATCTAGTTTTTCCCTCTAAAAGAGTGCTGCTTGTTGACCTCTTTACCAGAGATTTGGGAACTGTATCACTGTATTTACGGTACCCTTTGCCTTGCAGCTCAAATGTTATTTGTTCACATTTTTGCACTCCAGGTTACCTTGCCTGAGCACACACCACCTGGAAGTGCAGTTATCACAGTAACAGCAACTGACAAGGACTCTGGAAATAATGGGAAGATTACCTACAGGGTGATGTCGTCAACTCAGGATGGTTTCTACATTGACCCCAGCAATGGTAGATGATTCCCTACTGTGTTAGTTTTACAATTTTAATTCAATGTGAGATCTATCATGTTTTTGCAAGATGGCACAGTTGATTTGTTTGTTTCCAGGGACCTTGTTCATCAATCACAGAGCTGAGTTTGACCCTGAACGCCTATCAGTCAACATTGTCATTGAAGCTCGTGATGGAGGCGAGCCTTCCCTCTCCTCTCTTGCAATGATTCAAGTGCAAATTTCTGACATTAATGACAATGCTCCAGTGTTTCATCAGTCTGAGTACAGGTTAGTTAATGTTCTTTAAAACCTTTAAGCATTTTAGTGTAACCAAAACAGTTACCTCATATAGATCTTGATCTGTGATTTTTTTTCCAGATCTACAGTTTCAGAGGACACCATCCCAGGGTCAACAATTCTAACTTTTGAGGCCTTTGACAGTGACCTCTCACGAGAAAACTGTGGCTTTGACTTTGCTATTGCCAATGGGAATGAAGGAAATGCATTCCAGATTGAAAGTAGTGTGCGGTTCTTGGAGGGACGGGGCTTTCAAACAGTAGGAACCTTACTGTTGGCAGAGGGACTTGACTTTGAGATCAAGCCCTTATATAATCTCACGGTGGTGGTGTCTGACCGTGGTGTTCCTCAGAGAAGTTCCAGTGTTGCTGCAGTGATAATAATTTCAGATGTGAATGACAACCCTCCAGTGTTCAGCAGAGCAGAGTACACAGTGTCACTTAGTGAGGGAGCTGCCTCTGGGACTGAGATTATACGACTGACAGCAACAGGTAGGCAAACATCACGTAGTTCTTTTTACTACACTTTTTGACTTTTAATCTCTTGGGTAATTAATTGTGCTTGTTTTTTTCTTCTTTTCTTATAGACCTAGATTCAACTCCTAATGCTGAAGTCCAATATACTATAAGCTCTGGCGATGATGTGAACCTATTTTCTATTGACCAGTGGACAGGAGCTTTGAGACTTCAACAAGCACTTGATCGAGAGCACCAGCCTACACATACAGTCATTATTCAAGCCTCTGATGGGCAAGGTCACTTTGCACTAGCTCCAGTCATTGTTGAGGTGAAAGACGTAAATGACAACCATCCATTCTTCCCCGTTCAAGTCCTGACAGCAAGTATCCGAGAAAACCAACCAGCAAACTCAGCTGTGACTGTTCTGCATGCTATAGACCACGACACAGGAGTGTTTGGTCAGTTAAAATACTACATGCTGGAGAGGCCTGGATCTGGAAAAGCAAGCTTTGTTGTGGACAAGAGTTCAGGTGAAATCAAAAGCAAGATTCCTTTTGACTATGAGAAAATAAACTCTTTTAATTTTGAAGCAGTGGCTGTGGATTCAGGCAACCATTCAGCCACTGTAACTGTACAGGTGTTTGTCACCGGTGAGGATGAATATGATCCACTCTTCACATCCAATGATTTTTCTTTTGGAGTACCAGAGGGAGCCAAGAAAGGCCAGAGTATTGGCCAGGTCCAAGCAAACGATGAGGATGGAGGGGTGGACGGTATTGTTCTCTACTCTCTTACTTCCATTTCCCCATATTTTGATGTAAACAAAACTACTGGTGTGATTTTTTTGAAGATGGACAATTCAGGCAGCAGTAGTAGCGGATCAGGCCAGGCAAAACAGGAAACTAGGGTCATGACTCTGGATGTGAAAGCTCACAGTCCACTGGATGCATCTCGCTTGACATCAGCCCAGATCTCTATTGATGTCACAAACACCAACTTTGGCCTGGCTGCTGATGTAAATGCTCTGGTTATCAGCATCATAGCTGTGTCTCTTGCCTTTATCATACTGCTTGTTGTCACGGCTGTGGTGGTGTTTTTTGTCAAGTCTCGCAAGAGGAAGAAGGACCAGGATAAAGGAAACAGATCTCTTGCGTCAGCAAATGCTTTGAAAAAAATGGACGAAACTGGACCCGGAAGTGAGAATATTTACCACCAGACTTTGCCAGGTTACGGTGGTGATCAGGGAGGACATGGTGCTTCTTATACTCGAGGAGGTTCTTTGGATCCTTCTCACTCCAGTGGAAGAGGTTCAGCTGAGGCAGCAGAAGATGATGAGATCAGGATGATTAATGAGTACCCCCGTGTTGCCTCTATTACTTCATCAATGCAAGAGCACATCTCAGCCAGAGGACCAGACTCTGGAATCCAGCAGGATGCAGACCAGCTCTCTGATATTTCCTGTGAGCCTGCTGCTTTGGAAGGCAGCACTTGGTTCAAAGGAAAGAAATTGGGAGGCAGTCTGAGTGGGACCTTGCTTTCTGGCCAGCTCCCAGTCTACAGGGATGAAGGAGGTGGTTACCTGGGAGTAGGCCGTGGACTAAACATTTCCCTCCCGAAGGATTACGCCTTCCCTGAGGATGGTAAACCATCAGTGGATGGTTCCCTAACTGCTATTGTTGCGAGTGATGAGGAGCTTCGTGGAAGCTATAACTGGGATTACCTGCTCAACTGGTGCCCTCAGTTCCAACCTCTTGCTAATGTCTTCACTGAGATTGCTCGGCTTAAAGATGAAACTGCTCAACAAAATCAAAACCCCCGTCAGCCGTTTCAGCCAAAGCCCAAAATGGACCCCAAACCAAGAATTGACCCTCCACCACTCATCACATCAGTGGCTCACCCTGGGGCCATGTCGGTTCCTCCTAAAGTCCCTGTGATTGGGCGGACATTCCCCCACTTATCCTTACTCCGCAGGTCCCCTATCAGTCATGAGGGATCTATTTCTTCAGCAGCAATGTCGCCAAGCTTCTCCCCATCTCTGTCCCCCTTGGCTGCTCGATCTCCAGCTGTTTCGCCTTTTGGAGTCAACCAGGGGCCCTCAGCATCGATGATTAGCACTAGGGAGCCCTCACTTGACCAGAGTTCTGATCATGAGATGAGAATATAATTACAAACATACCAGAATGGACAGGTGTTTTTTTAATAGTTGACACTCTGAATAAAAAAAATGGCATACCACTTTTTTGAATGTTAATTTTAAAAATCTGTTAGCAATCATTGTTTGCAATATAAGAACAAAGATTTCACTAATGTCCACATAGACATTTGTTTGAAGCATCTGTGCAATAAAAACATCCACAAAAATACAAAGCATCGCCCTCATCTGAGAGAATATTTTGGTTTATTCTTCAGATGGTTGGCAATGTTGCAGGAATGCACTGATGTGGAAACACGCTTGGTTTGACGAGACCAGCTAAACCCTTCCCTTTTTTTAAAATGACGCAGGTCTCCATGAACTGATCAGAGTCATCGGGTGAACCGACCTTTTCGTAGGAGTGCACACTCACCATGCTCTGCAGTCAGAGATCACTTAGTGTGTAGATAGATGAACGTGTAGTTTTCATGTTACCTCGCTGGCTGGCCAGATCTAAGGACCTAGTCCCTCTCTTTGTGTCTGTGGACATTTTCAGTATTAAACTCATGTTGAAGCTGCCTTTGAAATGGCCTCTGGACATGATCAGACGAACTTGTTTGTTCACAAGGACACAATGTTATTGAAATGCCGAGGCATCACAAAGTGGGAAAGTGATGGAGAATTTTTTTTAAACACAATTGAAATGACACTTCTTATAATTTGACTTTTATTTTTGTATTTTTATATAAAATATGATTTTAGGTTCGTTATTTTACATTAAGAGGGGATTGTTTTTGTGTATTTGCATGTATGTATATTTGTATGTATATCTCATGTTTTTAGAGATTCCTGAGACAATTTTGTTTTGTGTGAATGAAAGACTGTTTTTGTAAGATTATTTATATGAAGGAAAAAAGAAGCTTTTTGCCACAATTGTACAATAGAAAACCGAGCACAGGTCTCTTTACGTCAGTAATATGTTTTTGTCATATCATTGATCATTCAAAATCGAAAACAGACAATGTCAAGATACAAATCTCAGTTTCTCTTAAGGTTTAAGTTAAACCATTCACCAACCTAAATGCATTTAATAGTGAAATTGTTCATCTCAGCTCAGTAGAAATAACATTCTGACAGGGTTGAGATTCCGACAGCATAGTTGCATACCTTTGAAAAATATAGCCCAGGAGAGAAACTACTGGGAAACAAAGGCCTTCATGCACGTCTTGATGAATACATGAAGATTTAGCAACCAGTTCAGTATTTACAGTACATACCCCTTGTTAACATTGTTTTATGCAATCCATTATGCATTTTGCTTCCCTCATGATGGGTTTTTATTTAACATTCAAGATGATTAACTAATCTGCACTTTTTTTTGCTGCCATTCATGTCCAATTTTGTCAGCCAATGGGATAGAAAAGGTGCCACTGTCATTTGTTCATGCACAATTATCATTTTAGACTCTTTTGACTGATTTCAGTGTTAGGATGTCTTCTTGTTTTCAAAAGATGGATTCTACCTCTGTTCTTTGTTTGACATAATCTAAATGCAAAGCTGGCACAAGTTCAGCTGAAAACTACAGACGCCATGAGAAACTGCGCCACAAAATGTTCCCGAGTTTCATTCTTACCATCTCAGAAAACCAAACAAAACTGAATGGTAGATTCAATTTGCATATTATTCTCAATTACTGATTTGTGGAGTAATGGCCAAAAAGCTGTGCGTTCATGTATTTGAAACAAATAAATTCCCACTGATCATTTTTGACAAATTGGAGTCATACTTAATCTTTAAACTCTGAAGCAAGACCCTGAGAGGAGCTGGAAAATAATCCATTATTCACAATTGTATTGTAATATGAGCTGTGAGTAGAAACTTGCAATTGCATATAATCAGTCATTCCTGGTATATTTTGGATGTTATGAGAAGGTTTAAAACTTTTGCTTGATTACCTCGAAAGGTGAGTGTAATTGCCAGTGTCCGTGTGTTTGTCTGTCTGTCTGTTAGCAGAATATTTCTTGAACCACTGGACACATTTTAATGAAATTCTCACAAAGTAATTGTTGGATGAAAACACAAAAAAATGGCCAGAGCACTTGTTTTTAACAAATATTATTTTAACATTTGGTAAATTAGTAGCTCCCCAAATAGTTCATTCCACCCGATCATTGGATTTGGCCCGCAAGGCAGCAGGTGATGTGCACTTTTTCAAGGAAAGTTACTTTGTCAGTAATTAATTTACATAAAACAAGAAACCATTTACAAGTGAGAAAAACGTTCAACTGTGGAATTTTTATTCACAAGGTACAGTATACATAAATGGAAACCTAATCTCTGATGTTGCAGCAAAAATCTAACATCTGATCACTTCCCGCCAGGTGTCTGAATGAATAAAACATTTGAAACATGGACATGGAGGAATTATTTCCCTCCTTTGGTTGTTTGTTTCTTACTCATTTGCACTATATTTCTCTGTTATTATAAGGATATGAACTTTGATCAAATGCTTAGAAAACCTGTACCCATTGATCAAATGGTTTGTGAGAAATGCAAATAATTAGAATGGAGAGGTTACAATGAATTTACACATTGATTCTATCAGACCTTAGCTCTCCTTGATCATTTACAGTAAAAATAGATGACCTCATCCGTAATGTTGCCTTCACAGAACACATTCATCTCCAGACACAGCTGCATTAACAGACTAGTGTCCCAGGACAGTTTTTGCAGCCTACAACTTCAGCAATTTCCAAAATGACAACTACACACAAAGGTTACTACTCAGTGTGCCGGGTTGTCCCACAGCAATCTGCCCGCTCAGATTGGCTCTGATTCTGTTTTGCTTTTGCTTACAAACTGCAGCAGAAATCTGTCTGCAGCAGAACTTTGACCCCTAACAAAGCTAGTCAGCCAAAAATGAAACTTTTGATATAGCATATTTGGTCTGCTCTAAAAAGCTGAGCAAATAATCGTTGTGATTCATCTCCCAACTACAACTACACACCCGCTCAACAAGGAAGAAATATTAGAAAAGGATAAAAGACTCATTCAGTACTAATGAAAATCTTCTTAAACATTTACTTTCAAAGGTTCATTTTGTTCTGGTTTTAATATTGTGTAACTGAACGAGTGGGACCCTGATTGATCAACATGTAGAAAGGTGAGATTCGATGCAGATTTTTGTGATTTTGCTCCTCCACTTAATTTTCTATGTTGTTGCCAGTGGTGATTTTAGCCTCTTTTTAGGGGTACCCAAGCACCCCTAAATTTTAACTGAACACCCCTGAAAAATTAGGAAACCATTACGATTTTGTAAGGAAACTCAGTTCTCAAACCTTAGATTAATCAAAAACTGAAACTTTTTTGAATAAATATGGAATAAATGATAACGGTCTTCAATGGGCCTGTAAAATATATGGTTTTTGTTTGTTTGTTTGTTTGTTTTTTACACGAGTCAGATCCTCAACACCACCTGACAATCCAGTTGGCTCATCAGCAACTGACAAATCACAATCTCAAATTGCCCCTTACCTGCTGGAACTCCACCCCCCTTTTCTTCTGACGACATTGTTGGAGTTTTGCTTTATGGACGCTTTGCAATCAGAGGGATTTTTGTGAAAAATCATTAAAAAAAAAAAAAGATTAAACATTGTTAGTTGGGAACATGTAATGGTAATTCAGACATGTGTTACCCTGAGTGTATAGATGGTGGAACACAGTTTATTCTGTAAATAAACAAAAAGGGCATTAAGATACATTTGAGAACTATTCACACAAGGAGAGCTGTTGGTCAGGCTACTTCTTGTTGTGCCGTGCTCTCTAATATAGTTATTGAATCAAGTGTTTACTTATCTAGATAAACGTAGATGTTTCAAAACCTGTTAAAACACACCAGGATGCAGAAAATGGCATCTACTTCATTCTAAATTTGCTGGGGGAGGCCCCACCACACTGGCAATGCATGCAGGACTTTTCAGGATTAGAGGACTTCATGATAAGTTTTGTAGTCCAGAGGCAGGCAGGTGATGGAACCACATATTACAGTAAGATTTTCACAATTTTATCTTGACATTTCTTTGAGAATATTCTTAAATGTGAAATCCGATTCAGTGACTGGTCCTTGCCTGGGGGTTCTCTGAATACGTAATCCAGGTTTAGCTTTGCGGTGCAGCAAAATGCTGTAAATCAGCTCTGAGTCGGACACTAGATTTAGTTTGTGTAAAGTGAGACTCCAGCGCTTGATAACACAGCTTTAAGCCAATATTTTTTTTTACACTTAAACCCATTCTTAGCCACATTTTTAAGAGTATTTCTGAGAAGTTTGATAAATATGGGCCCAGGCATGATTAGGAAACAGGAAATCAAAGTCAAGGCACTGACTTTACATATATCAGGAAGTGACAGGGACACAGCAAAACGAAGTCCTTAACATCCAAAAATGAAAAAAGGGAATATGTAAAATCTCAAATCTTGTGAACATGACATGAGACAGAAATGAACACACACACACACCTGCCCATGTGATAATTAGTGTCCAGGTGCCCTTTCATTCAGACTTTGATCAGTCTATGTTATAAAATACCAGAACATTAATTACACAGCTATTTAAAAGCACATTTTTTTGTAGTTTTTAAGATAAAAAGACAGAAAAGTGCAGATCTGCTCCACCAACAGATATTTGTGAATGTAGGTCAGAGAAGAATGATGGAAACTGTAGAACAGAAATAGCTCAGGAAGTACCAGGCTTTGTTTTCACTATAAACTGGGAATAAGCACCTGTAGGGATTTACTTTTTTTGTTACAAGAAATGTTTTCTTTATAATTATGAGAAAGGGACCAGTATTTTGGTGCATCAACATATCATTATAAAAAATGTTAAGGAAGATATTTTTTCATAACATAGGTCAGAAACTAAATAGGCTCACAAATGTGTCTCTGTATTTTTATTTTATTTTATTTCACCACATTTATGATGCATTTTCCCATCCCGTTAGGCCATAAAGTGAAATGTGAACCCTTTTTGTTTCAAATGACTTC